TTTTACAAATTTATAAACAATTTTCAAAAACTTTGTTTCTCTTTATTTTCTTTTGCGGAGAAAAACTTTTTATTTCTTTTGCCATAAAAACTATTAATATTTAGTTGAGTACAACATCCAAATGCATCCGCAATTCAATACTCAAACAACACTATAAAAAACATTATAATTATATTCTTGTTCTCAAACATCGCTATAATGTATGAAAAGTATGACAAACTCTCTCAAAGAGTATATTCCCATTCATTACCACCAAATTTATTGCACAGGAATTGATGTGAAAATGAATGAAAATCTTTCATTAGAAGCGAAAATAATGGCAAAAGAAATAAAAAGTTTTTCTCCGCAAAAGAAAATAAAGAAAAACAAAGTTTTTGAAAATTGTTTATAAATTTGTAAAAATAACAATAAATGTTAATTTCAAATAAAGGGTATATATTTTTCCTGAAATATTAATTGCACTCTTTCTTCACTACATCTAACCATTCATTAAATGTATATATAATACATATAAATGAATATTTCTTGTATTTATTCAGAAGAAAAAACATATACTTTATTTAATTTTCGAAAAAATAACATAAAAAACTAATTACATATGAATTGTATGGAAAGTATTCATTTGTTAAGCATTGAGAAAAAAGTACATATATATTAGGGGTAACTGTAATATTGATATGAAATGTTGTATTCAATACATTGTATTGCAGGCAATGAACAGCTCTTTTGCACAGCGATTGAGTGGAGAGAAGAAAAAAAGTTTTTTTCGCCAAAAAAATTGCTTTGAAAACTAAATAACAGTAAATAATAGGGAATTAAGTGAATGAACAACACATTGAATGCTATGATAGGGAGTGAGAGATACAGCGAGACTGACTGTCATTCACTATACACTCTGTATAACACTTTAAACTGTAATACTGTATAAAGTCATACAACAGATACTGTGCGCAACGATACACATATTCAGTACACACTGTAGTCGCACACACTTATAGGCGCCCCTTAACCACACTATCAAAGGGTGTGTTCATAGCGTTAACACTGTTTAGTAGTGACCCGATGTGTTGGTCCCCTCCCCGCGTGTGGCGTAACGTAATATATGAATGACTGGCAGTGTATGAGTGAGTGTTGTAAAAGTCGGTCATTTGGAAAGGGAATGATTACTACGTATTGAATGCTATACTAAACGAGACTATAGTATAGCATAGAGTGAGTGCTTGTGTTGTATTGACTCAAATGTTTGCACTGTTTTTGTCGACACAAACACTCAATTCATACACTATTTTGACGACATTTTAGATTCAAATCAAGTGTTTATTAATTATTATTGTTATTAATGTTTGGTTTGCATTGAATTGTGTTTAAAGCGATATCTAATGAATTGAATGTTTGATTTGATTGAAAGCTATAGTAATGTGTTGTGAAAGGAGTGACCAAAGGATGTGTTCACTGAAGACATGTATTCACGACATAAACAGCGAAAAGAACAACAATTACTTAATTTGAGACAATTGTGGCCAAAGAGTGCCGATAATGACCCGACTCTGGCCTCACAGTCGCCCACAACCGACTCAATGGCCAATCGGTCGCCCAATCAGTCATCTCTCTTGTCGTCGTCGTCGAGGACGGCGTCCATAGCGTCCCGAGCCGTGAGTCGGACCGCAAAACGGGACACGACTTCCACCACTGGTCACGAGTCGACGCACGGCTCGTCCTCTTCTGCCGCATCGCCGAAGAGCGACTCCAACACGAGTTCAACCCTTAGATCTGTTAATAGGTCTCCAACTGTTCGGTCGCAGACACTGAGGAGTGGCGACCGAACGGTTGGACTCCAGTCACGGACCACTTATTCTCCGACCGCCCGAACCAATGCGAGTCTTCCGCAGAGTTTGACATCGCATCCAAACAGACAAAGTTTGTCGCAAACGACTAAAACCAGTGATAATCACAACATTAATAGTGTTAAACAACGGCTCAATAGTAGCAATAAGTGCCCGAAAGAGAGTCCTCCGCAACGAAAAGCATTGCAATCGCAGGCGTCGACCGATTCGACCGCAACAACGGTCGCCTCCGATCTCACCATAAGTCCGGAGGTATTGTTTTTAGTCAAAGAACAGGCGAAGAGTATCGCAAAGATCAACGCACTCGAGAAGAAAGTGGATCTATTGGCTCACATAATCAAATCACAGAATCTGAACGACATCTCCACCCATGAGATGTCGAGCGCCTCCTCGTCGTCGACCGCGAAGTTAGTGAACAAAACACTCAACACAAGCAAAGACCGGATGGCGGTGTCCGACGACAGCGGCGGTGAATACAGTCGACTCACCAACACATCAGATGAAGACGAACTCTCACTACTCTTAGACCGAATCGTCAGACGTTCCCAACAATTACAGAGTAATAGTCAACAAATTAATTGTAATAATAATAATAGGTTTTCGGCAAACGCTTCCATCAGTGGACACAGTGTTTGCGGTCATAATAACACTCAAACTATGCAAACGCGGCCTAAATGGCACTCATATGCGGCCACTCCTCCATCACAGTCGACGCCCCGGTCGCCAACCCGTGAAACACTTGAACACAAACTCTTTTCCAATAGTTATAGTAATAGCAGAGCAATGGTGTCGTCCGGACCGCAGCCCTCAGCGCCGCCGTTATCGGCAACACATCAGTCACCGTATTGTCAGCCCATAAGTGCCTTACTCTTCGAGCCTAACGTTGAGACAGTGCTGAAGAATTTGGACGATATCATTGCCAACGAAGCCATTGATAGCAATAGGTTTAGCAACGCATCCACTCTTTCGCAGACATATCAACGCTCGCAGACATTATCACAGCATTCCTCGCCGTCATTATACGAGCCGATGGGCGTCACGGCTACCGGTGTTGCCGCGGGACCTATTGTGCATCAGACCAGTGATACGGGCACTCCATCGCCCACAAGGGATCAGTTGGAAAGGGCTATGAATTACGTGAAACAGAGAGAGGAGAGAGAGGCAGACAACCAAAAGAGATTAAACAAGGAATGGCTTCAAACGCAGCTGAAGACAAGCGATCCCAATACCAATCAACACAACCAACTCTTCAGACGATCCAATTATATCGACTCATTAGAGCCGACGTTTAGGTAAAACATGGCATTTATGCGAACAAATTAATCGCTTATTATTTGGCTGTGTTTTGAGTTTACATTAATTTTCATTTTGTTGTGATTTTTATTAAATAATTTAGACATTTATTTCATTATTTAATTCTAAGTCTCTTTTTTACAATTGTTTTGAGAGTTTTAATAATTATCGGAAAAAGTGTTTCTTATTTAATGAGAAGTTTTTAAGTTTTTCTTTTTTATTTGTTTATAAATTCATACGTTTTTCTAAAAATGTTAATTCATTTAATAATTAAATAATTATTTTCTCCACATTTTCTAATACGAGACATAATATCTGTTTTAATGTAATTATAATTTGCATAAAACCAAAGATTATATGAATATTTGTTTAATATTAATGAGAATAGAAATAATACAATGTTTTGAATTTAATTTTAAGAAATTTTATTTTCAATATTCCATTAAATGAATGAAAATATGTATAAGAGTTGAGGAGAAATGTCGTGATTATCAAAGATATCACATATTTGTCAGATTGTTATCTAATTTCACTAATTCTAGACATTAAACAAATTTGTAATGAATGTAATATTCAATTTCAACATTACTTTCTATTGATTACAATAGAAAATACCATTTATATGAAAAATATTGTAATAAAAATATGTTTCAGATATGAAATAATAATAAAAGTTATTATTTTAATGCAATCTTTGATTTCGGTTATGAAAAAAGTTTAATTAAATTTAATTATTGGTTTCGCTAAAGAAAAGCCAAAACATTATTTTTCACTTTTTTATTATCATTTCCTTAAGAAATAAACTTTTTGTTTGCGTTTTTATTTGTAATTCAAATAAAAGCCAAATATTTATTATATTTTTATTGTGAAAAGTCTTATAAGAGAGAAATTCCGGACTATTTTAAAATTAGATTAAAATTAACTTTAATTTCACATATTTTTGGTTCAAAAATAATAAGAAACCCAAAAATATTTGTTAGAAGAGTTCAATGGATAGACGGGTGATAAAAAGTACTCACAAATCACACATCGGATCCATTGATGAGCGATAAGTGGTGGCGATTGTCGACACAAACGGATCCACTGTTTAGACATTAAACAGATCCACAAAGAGAGAGAGAGAGAGAGTATTACGAATGCATAAATATAGTGCGCTTTCATTGTTTGTTTAGCAAATCATTGTTACTTTAATAAGAATTAAATATTTTTAATAAAAAATCTAATAACTAATCGTCTCTTCGAGAAGAAAAGATGGGATTATATTATATAATGAATATAAATAATGGACGAGAAATCAACTGAACGTTTGGGCGAAAAAAAGTTATTGAACTCTAAAAAATGAGACTAAAAATAATTATACAATTATTTTCGCTCCAATGATAAGCAAAATACTGTATAAGTTATATAAGAAAAACTTATTTCACAACTTTTAATAAAAAGAGGTTTTCATTATATTGTTTGACGTTATTATCGGCTCTTATTGTGTTTTCTTTCGCTCCTTTCGCAAACAACACGTCATTTATGTGTTGTTTGTCTCACATCTGGTTTGTGTGACTCTCGGCGCCAACCCTTCACTCCATTCACTGTTCACTCAATCAGTGCTTACTATAAGTGGACAACAGATGGCGAGTGAGAGTCCATGCGATCAACACTTGTCTCGTGTTTTGCGACACAAAACCTAAACAAATCGCTTGACAGCAGAGTTGTGGATCTGTTTAATGTCTAAACAGTGGATCCGTTTGTGTCGACAATCGCCACCACTTATCGCTCATCAATGGATCCGATGTGTGATTTGTGAGTACTTTTTATCACCCGTTTGTTGATTGTATCGCTTGTCATGTCATCTGTTTTTCCTCTGTTTCGTTGCGATCAATGGTTTCAGTTGTGCGGCGAAGAAGTCGTTATATCGCTGTTCCCGATGTCAGCGGCGGTACTGTTCGTCCGATTGTTTCCGAAGCCCACAACACATCCAGTGCTCCGAAGAGTTCTTCAAACAGTGTGTCACTCAAGAGCTTCTATCGCAACGATTTGAGTAAACATTTACTGTTTTTTCTGTCATTTATTTAATCAATAATTTGATGAATTGTTTTGTGTTTTGTTTGAAGCGATTCATCGAAACACAGATTATTGGAAATACTTAAACGAAATGACAATCAATTGGCAACTGATTTGATTGCCGGCGAAGACGACGATAACGATGACAATGAGAGCAACGAAGTGCCGTTTGAAGTGCGGTTCAAGAACTTAGACATTAGTGATTCTCAGCAACTTTGGGATCAGTTGAGTGATAGCGAGAGACAAGAGTTTAGTGAACTGTTAAAGAGTGGTAAAATTGGCGATTTAGTGGATGTGTGGACTCCGTGGTGGACCGCAAGCCAACCACTGGTCACACCATTAGGCGAGCCATCAATCGCTGAGACATCGGATAATGTGTCAAAACGGCCACAATTGGCGTCGAGTGTGACTCAATTGAATGATTTAATTTCAGTCAGTATTTAAGCCAATCATTTGTTGGCAAATATAAAACGAGACAATTGTTTATAATTGCGACACTCTTTTCAGAAACCTGTTTCGCCGACAGTGTGTCCGGCGGTCGTCAACTCACTCTTCAGTTATTGTTATATCTGTCGTATATTTAATGGAGAATACGATAGCATTGAAGCGATCGATATATTCGTCCAGAAATGTCCGCAACTTTGCAAACATATTAATTGCGATGATTTGAACCAATCGTTACAAATGTGCGTTCAAGAAGTGGTGACAGAACAGCCATCATATATGGCTATTCAACTGCTCCACGATCTCAAGTGTCTCATCGATGGTCCAAAAGTTCAACCATCGAAAGCACCGGAATATGTTTTGCGAGCATTTAGTGATTTAGTTTATATTATAAACAATGTTAAGAAAAAATGTCCAAAAACTAAGCGAAAAGAACTCGAATTATTGGCGAAGAAGTTGGAGTTCTTCATGAGTTGGTCTGTGGCTAATGGCGTGTCTTTAGTCGAGTCCTTAATTCAAATAAATCTGTTAACACGTAAGAAGTGATCCATTTATTAATTATTTTGGTTTCTAATGCACTGAATTTTTAGATACAATGCTTTTAATGGAAAATTCAAATCAATCGCAAGAAGCGGACGAAGATTTAAGAAAGAAATTAAAACCAAAAACATTGATAACAGAAATTGAATGAAAGATGTATTAAACTATATTCGTGTCATTTAAATGCAATTTAATAATAATCTGTATTAGTATTGAATGGCTTCGAGTTTGGAGTGTTTGGCCACTTCTTGGAGAGTATATGCAATGATAGTCGACTGATCACTGAATCTAAAGTATCCCCTAAAATGGGATCCCTTAAGCATTAATGGAAACCAGATGTGGTCGTCGGCCCACATGTCCTCAAATGGTATCTCTTCGCTACCAAACCATTTGGGTTTCATCTCTGGTTTTGATTGTAAATACCATTAAGAAATATACAACAATTAAATTGTAAGCACTGAACAAACCGTCTGATTCTTGCACTTCTCCCCAGACGTCATCCGTTTGAAAGACATGTGTTTCCATATGTTTGGGTGCCGTCGGGTCCGACACGAACTCAAAGCTCAAAACACCGATTTTGTTCAAACAATTGCACTCCAGATTTGATTCCTCTTTGAGTTCGCTATCGATTACAACGATTATAAGATAATAATTTAAAGGGTCTACTGATGGCAATGGCATTCGTGCCGATCCAACCGTTTGGCCGCTTCTTCCACAGTCTCATTGGCCTCCACTTTACCGCCGAATCCGTTCCACTTGTTTTGGCCAAACCCTCGCTTTTTCAGTCCCAACAAAATTTGTTTTGATTTGTTTGTCACCAAAACTAACGTGTATTTCGGAATCTGTTTAACAGAAAACATTTGGACACCAATTGTCTTCAATTTTACTGTAAATCAATTGAACGATAATCCGATTACAACCTAAATATAATTAACTGTCAAAAAAGTGTTATGCAATCAACACAACAGCACGTGTTTCGCACATTTCACAAGAGGCGCCACACAAGGGATCGACTTTGACTTTCAATCCTTTGCATTGAATAGCAATTTATAATATAAGTGCTATTTTTGATTGTCATAAAAAAGTTCTTTCGAAATGTACTTAAAGTATAAATTGTGTCAATAATTGAATTGTTATGACACGAGTAAAAAGTAATATAATTTAATGACTTTTGCATTAATGGCATCAATTAAGTGGTGAATTGGAGGACAAACCATAAACTCTTGGGAAGTCCACTGTGAGAGACGATTTTGAAATATTAAATGTGTTTCCATTTGTTTATAACTTCTTTTTGTGCGACAAAACCATTATCTTAAGTAAAATCTGCGAAAGAATTCAAATTTTCTTTTAAGTATATTTAAAATGTAATAAAAAATGTTTTGTGAAGTTTTTTATAGCAAATAATGAATTATTCTGTTCATCCGTTAAGAGATGCTAATTATAGATAAACTTATTTTTGTAATGTCTTTATTAGTGACTATTATATCGATTTCATAAGAGATCACTTTTTAAGGCATTTTAAGTAAAAATAACTGATATTTATTATAAAATTAATTTTATTCATTTAAAAATTGTATTAAAAATATTTTTGGTATTAAATGTGTATTAATATTCAATGGCTTCGAGTGTGGATTCTTGAGGCACTTGTTCCAGAGTATAGTCAACGATAGTCGACTGATCGCTGTATCTGAAGAATCCCCTAAATCGTGACCCCTTTAACAGGTCGGGCAACCAAAGCGGGTCGTCGGCCCACATGTCCTTAAATGGTATGTCTTCGATGGCAAACCATTTCGGTCTCATTTCTGGCGATTCGAGTCAAACATACAATAAATAATCAGTCAATTAAAACAGCGCTAAAATAGTCCACCAAAAAAGGCCTAACCCTCCGATTCCTTTGGTTCTCCCGACACGTCCTCCGTATGAAAGACATGTATTTCCAGGTGTTTGGGAGCCGTCGGGTCTGACATGTATTCCATGCTTAAGATTCCCATTTTGGTCAGACTATTGCACTCCAGATTGGATTCCTCCAGAAGTTCGCTATCCATTGAAGACAACAATCAAATTAACATATCATACGATGCGCTCATTAAAACTGATCCCAACCGTTTGGCCGCCTCTTCGATGGTCTCATTGACCTCCACTTTACCGCCGAATCCATTCCACTTGTTTTGGCCAAAGCCTCGCTTCTTGAGTCCCAACAGAATCTGTTTGGACTGATTGGTGACCAAAACCAATGTATCGACTCTTATCCTCTTATTGGCACAAATCTTAAACATATTGTTTGTTAATAAAAGACAATTGATTTAATCAAATCAACTCTCAATTAGGAGTGAATGCCGTAATAGTTATCAAACTGTGTGTATATTTACGAGATATGCAATGCATGTACGGGTAATGTGACAACACGTGCCCTCACGTCACACACGCTTTACAGATGTGTGAAACAACTTCATTGACATTCATTGTGCGAAAGCGCCACACATTGACATACAATCGTCTAATTATTCTAACTTTTTCAAACTTTTTCAAACTTTTACCAACTTTTACCAACTTTTCAGTAGTAGTCCACAAATTAATTAATTACATAACAATTACTTTACTGTACAGTGAAGTTGTTTACTTGTTATTTTGGTAAAATAATACATATTATAATATTTTGCAAATTAATTAATTATAACAATTAAGTAAACAGTGGTTTGCATTGCAAACGGTTTTGCAAGATTTTCTTGGTATATAACATACATTATGAGTTCATTGCAATTCTTGTCAACTTTTTCTCTGTTTTTTAGACGTTTGTTGTCTCCGAAGTCTATCACGAGTTTTGTTTCTCACTTTTCTCGACACTCGTCTACTTCTCCTCAGGTATTGAGCCCTTAATAACCACTTTCTTTGAATTGATTTTCGGGAAGATTTTCGGAAACTTCCGAACTGTTGTCGACCATAATTGCCAAATGCACCTGGTTGGAATCGGTTACGCGCACCAAATCTACCACCATTTAGTGGACCGTATGGCGGGAAATACCCTCCAACCCCTCCCACACCTCCCACACCTCCAACACCTCCAACACCTCCAACGCCTCCAATCCCACCGAATCCTTGTTATCAATATCCAAATGTTAGTTAATTTTTCATTTTCAGTAATAAATATAATTATTATTTATAAATACCGTAAGGATAGGGGAGAACAGGGCCTCCAATGCCATTACCCAAGCGATTACAACCGCATTGATTGCCCAGATTAACGACCGACAGACCCGATGGGAACAAAAAACGTTTGGTCCGTCTCTTGATGTGATGGTCTAAAGCCCTATATGTGTGGAGTCGACAATCGGTCCTTTCGCCCGACAAACACATAATTAGCCCAAAGAATATGTTAATTATGAAAACGTATTCATAAATAATAATTTTCATAATAACCAAAAATACATAACTCTTTTTAACACAAAATAAGTATAAAAATTAGGAATTAATTAATTAATAAAAATAATTCAAAACTAATTATTAATATTTTTCTTTAATATATTTTCGTTGAATTTTATTGGAAAACTTAATTTAACTTTATTTTGTTTTGTTTATTAGATTATTATTATTGCATTAATTTAATGGTATTTCATTTTATGAAACAATAAATTATTGTTCAACACATCAGAAATGAGTTCAATCGCTCTCTCGATCGCGAGTCTATTGGTGTCCCACAAAAACAGTTTGTTTTTTGTTATTAAAAATTAATTAATATATAAATAATTTATGAAGTATTTAAACAGCTTTTTTCGGGCAAAAACTCTTCGCAAAATAATTGGTTCAAAAGTAATATAATTTATAGGATTTTGTTTTGTTTTGTTTTGTTTGGTGTGTATTTGAATTTTGTTGTTTAAATGGATTTGATTTAAGCCGAGAATATATTTTTTTGACGAACATTTCAATAATATTTATTAGTATAGGTTTTGACATCAAAAGAATTTTTCTTAAAATTGTATATATTTTTAGCAATTTTTACCAACATTTCTTACATTTTAACGCTTAACTCAATTAATAATATGTTTTTCTTTCATTTAAAATGTTATCTTTATTTCTGCGGATTATTTATGAAAATATTGTACTTTTATTGAATCTTAATATATTTGTTGCAAACTATTGCCAACCCTTTTGACAATTTAGTTAATAAATTACATGAAATGATAAATGTATTAAAAATACTATTCAAATATATCTTATGATGAAAAATACTTAATTCAATATAACTTCTATATAACATACCGTAGTTTTAAACTGATTCACCATAAATTTAATAACAAATTTTGATTAATCTCATTGATTAAAGCTAAACTTAGTAGTCTTGGAATTAAATCAACATATTTCGTCTCTCTCTCTCTCTCTCTCTCTCTCTCTCTC